TATGTCTGAAAATGTAGTTGGGTGATTTGGACTGAGAGTAATGAATTTACAAAAGTGAGCTTGGACGGAGGACAAGAGCTAGAGTTTTATAATTGTTTACTTCATATTTACTATGTCTGAAATACAGAGGGTAAAAAATTCGGGGAAATTGATGGTTTATTTACAAAGACTTGAGGGTGGAAGAGGGTGGGGGACGAGAGCTGGAGCTCAGTAACTGACTTGATCTTATTTACTAACTTTGAAGTATGTCTGCTTTTAATTTTTGGGAAATTGATGGGTTATTTACAAAGATACGAAGGAGAACTAAGGCAGGGACGAGAGCTGGAGCTCGATAACTGACTTGATTTTATTTACGGAGTCTGAAATACAGAGGGTAAAAATTTCAGGGAAATTGGACTGTTACTAACGATCTTGTATAAACGAAATAAGGTGGGGGACAAGCGCTGGAGCTTGGTAACTGTTTTGATCTTATTTACGGTGCCTGAAATACAGAGGGTAGAAATTTCAGGGAAATTGGACTGATACTAACGAAGATACGAGAGAGAGCTAAGGCGGAGGACAAGAGCTGGAGCTTGGTAACTGTTTGATCTTATTTACGGTGCCCGAAATACAGAGGGTAAAAATTTCAGGGAAATTGGACTGATACTAACGAAGATACGAGAGAGAGCTAAGGCGGAGGACAAGAGCTGGAGCTTGGTAACTAATTACTGTATTGAACTACATTTGAAATATGATTATTTTTAAATTTTAGAGGGATTGGAATGATAGTATTCTTTATACGACAGGGGACTAAGGTGGGGAACGTGAGCTAGAACTTGCTTACTAACATGATTTATTTGTGTAAAACTGACTTGCTTAATGAAAAGGAGCAAACATACTGACTTGCTTAATGAAAAGGAGCAAACATACGATGTTGGAAAATAGTTGAACTGAATGAAAGGAGAGAGAGAGAGAGGAGGGACGGTCCAGATATTATGAAGATAAGATAAGATTAAGAGCCGACTGGCTGGCTGGGCGCAAAGTAAATAAAGGTGACGCGAGAGATTGCGAGGTAAGGGGGGAGGGAGGGGGGTGTGATGTACGAAACCCTGAAAACCATGACTTACACAGGTGATTTTCTAAATTTATATGAATAACTAAGGCTTACATAGACGATTTTGTAAGTTGAAAACATGTAAAACATGTCCGTAGAGTTCTCCTGGAAGCCCTAAAGAGCTACATACGTTACTTGAATTTGTCCCATAAGGCCTTAACAAACTTCTATGTCTTGGAAATTATTTTTCTCATAAGAAACCTTAACAAACTTCTATGTCTCGGAAATTATTTTCATCATAAGACTTAAACAAACTTCTAAGTCTCGGAAATTATTTTCATTATAAGAACTTTAACAACTTCTAAAATCAGTGACTGACAAAAATTTACCTGAAACCCTGGCTAACACGCGGGATATTTCCCAGAAAAAAAAAAGGAGCCGCTGGCTCTTACAGTCCACAGGGATCCTCCGGCCTGAAAAAAAAAGGAGCCGCTGGCTCTTACAGTCCACAGGGGTCCTCTCCCCCCCCCAAAAAAAAGGAGCCTGTGGCTCTTACTCCCTACTACTGGTGAGGTAGTGAGGGTGGTTGGTGAGGGTGGTGAGGGGTGGTTGGTGAGGTGGTGAGGGTGGTTGGTGAGGTGGTGAGGGTGGTTGGTGAGGTAGAGGGGTGGTTGGTGAGGTAGTGAGGGTAGTTGGTGAGGGTGGTGAGGGGTGGTTGGTGAGGTGGTGAGGGTGGTTGGTGAGGTGGTGAGGGTGGTTGGTGAGGTGGTGAGGGTGGTTGGTGAGGGGTGGTTGGTGAGGGTGGTTGGTGAGGGGTGGTTGGTGAGGTAGTGAGGGTGGTTGGTGAGGTAGTGAGGGTGGTTGGTGAGGGTGGTTGGTGAGGTAGTGAGGGTGGTTGGTGAGGTAGTGAGGGTGGTTGGTGAGGTAGTGAGGGTGGTTGGTGAGGTGGTGAGGGTGGTTGGTGAGGTAGTGAGGGTGGTTGGTGAGGGTGGTTGGTGAGGTGAGGGTGGTTGGGTGAGGGTGGTTGGTGAGGTAGTGAGGGTGGTTGGTGAGGTGGTGAGGGTGGTTGGTGAGGTAGTGAGGGTGGTTGGTGAGGTAGTGAGGGTGGTTGGTGAGGTAGTGAGGGTGGTTGGTGAGGTGGTGAGGATGGTTGGTGAGGTAGTGAGGGTGGTTGGTGAGGGTGGTTGGTGAGGTAGTGAGGGTGGTTGGTGAGGTAGTGAGGGTGGTTGGTGAGGTAGTGAGGGTGGTTGGTGAGGGTGGTTGGTGAGGTAGTGAGGGTGGTTGGTGAGGGTGGTTGGTGAGGTAGTGAGGGTGGTTGGTGAGGGTGGTTGGTGAGGTAGTGAGGGTGGTTGGTGAGGTAGTGAGGGTGGTTGGTGAGGTAGTGAGGGTGGTTGGTGAGGTGGTGAGGGTGGTTGGTGAGGGTGGTTGGTGAGGTAGTGAGGGTGGTTGGTGAGGTGGTGAGGGTGGTTGGTGAGGTAGTGAGGGTGGTTGGTGAGGTGGTGAGGGTGGTTGGTGAGGTGGTGAGGGTGGTTGGTGAGGGTGGTTGGTGAGGTAGTGAGGGTGGTTGGTGAGGTAGTGAGGGTGGTTGGTGAGGTAGTGAGGGTGGTTGGTGAGTGAGGGTGGTTGGTGAGGTGTGAGGGTGGTTGGTGAGGTGGTGAGGGTGGTTGGTGAGGTAGTGAGGGTGGTTGGTGAGGTAGTGAGGGTGGTTGGTGAGGGTGGTGGGTTGTGGTTGGTGAGGTGGTGAGGGTGGTTGGTGAGGTGGTGAGGGTGGTTGGTGAGGTAGAGAGGGTGGTTGGTGAGGTGGTGAGGGTGGTTGGTGAGGTAGTGAGGGTGGTTGGTGAGGTAGTGAGGGTGGTTGGTGAGGTAGTGAGGGTGGTTGGTGAGGTGGTAAGGGTGGTTGGTGAGGTAGTGAGGGTGGTTGGTGAGGTAGTGAGGGTGGTTGGTGAGGTAGTGAGGGTGGTTGGTGAGGTAGTGAGGGTGGTTGGTGAGGTGGTAAGGGTGGTTGGTGAGGTGGTGAGGGTGGTTGGAATGCTGATGAGTAACCAGGTGTGGTCCTCCATGCTGATGAACACCAGCCACACAGTTGAGAGGCGGGACTAAAGAGCCAGAGCTCAACCCCCCGCAAGCACAATTAGGTGAGTGCACACACTAACACATGAGCCACAGAGACATGTACTTATAAAGGCGAAAGATTTATGCGTTGTGAAGAGAAACCAGAGTTACACAGAGACATAAGAAAGCACTTTTTCAGTGTCAAGTAGTTAGCAAATGGGATGTATTAGGTAGTGATGTGGTGGAGGCTGACTCCATACACAGTTTCAAATGTAGATATGATAAGAGCCCAGTAGGCTCAGGAACCTGTACACCAGTTGATTGACAGTTGAGAGGCGGGACCAAAGAGCCGGAGCTCAACCCTCGCAAGCACAACAAAGTTCAGATGAACCTTCAAGGGTTTATTTAACAAAAAAGGTCCTAATAAACTCGCCTAAACCCTCATCCTCACCTCGGAAGAAAACTGTAAAATAGTGATTACATTCAAAAACAGTTAGAGCTGCTACATGAAATATGAAAGTACAGTTGAAAGAGAAACACCTGAGTTTAGTGTTGTTGTTGCACAAAACGTTGGCAACATTGCTGAATGGATTTCTGAATAGTACAGAACGCTAGCAACAATACCGTCTGGATTTCTGGATCTGGATAATGGATTCAGTGGCCCGTTTGTAAGCACATTACCCTGAGACCTCACTGGTGGTAGTTTGTGTTGTGGAGTAATATTGCATATAAATGGTATCCTCTCATCTGGAGTCAACTATTTGCATGGAAATGAGTCGTTATGCCCGGGAGAAGATGAGGGCCTCTCGGTGTCGTCCTGCTCGGAGATGAGGACCTGATGGTGTTATGGGTGTCAGTACGCAAAGCGGGTGAGGGGGCCTCTTGGTCTCATCTCGCCCGGAGATGAGATCTGCTTGGTGTTAGCTTGGCCGGAGATGCCCGCCGGGGAGTCTGCCCATATGGTGCCCCCTACAAGGACTTGAGGGTACAGGTGGTGGTGTAGGTGGCCGGGGCGCACCTTCCCCTACCATCCTGTGTCGCCCAGCGAGGGGGAGCATCAAAGGTCAACAAGTGTATTAGTGAAGACTTTGATCCGCTCCGTGAGCCTAGGTGCTTCTCGCCGCCCTCCTCCTCCTCCTCTCCCTCCCTCGTGCTTTCACTCTCTCGCTTTCTCCCCTTTCTTCTCACTCGGTTTCTGTACCGATGATTTGTTGGTTGAGAGGCGAGTGTGAATGGCAAAGATTCACTCTCTCTCTCTCTCTCTCTCTCTCTCTCTCTCTCTCTCTCTCTCTCTCTCTCTCTCTCTCTCTCTCTCTCTCTCTCTCTCTCTCTCTCTCTCTCTCTCTCTCTCTCTCTCTCTCTCTCTCTCTCTCTCTCTCTTCTCTCTTCTCTTTCTCTCTCTCTTTCTCTCTCTTCACTCTTCACTCTTCACTTTCCTTGACCATATAATGCAGCGTTTGACACCTTGGATTAACCTTGTCAAACTTGGCAGAACATATTCTAGTGCATTTTTATTCATTCTATATTATAGTGACCAAAATTGAACTGCAAAGCCTAAATGGAGCTACACAAGAGCATGATTCATCCGAAGAATAACATCAGGTGTTTTATTGATAACGCTTCTAGAAATAAATCCCAGTGTCCTATTTACCTTTGCATTTATGCGTCGATTTTTTTAGCTTTGAATTCCGACTAATCATGATCCCCAGATCTTTTTCACAATCAGGCTTCGTAATTTCAGTTCTTTCCAGCTGATATCTAGTGACTGTTATCATTACCAAGAGTTCAAGTTTCAGAACACCCCACCCACTAGACACATTATTTCCACTCCAGAATCCTCTCAGCAACTCTCTCTTGACCCCCCTTCACGTCTCCAGATGCCTCCCTCCCTCCCTTACTATGACCCTCATTTCAGACGGTTGTTGGGATAGCTCCTTTCCCATTCCCTGGGCTGGCCGAACTGCGAGACAAGTACACGTACAACATCACCCCGTGGACCCAGTCCGTGTCGTCCGTGGCCAAGCGGGGCCTCAGGCTCTTCTACTCTGATGACGACGATGAAGAGGATAACGACGAGGACGACCAGAAGATCGCTGTGGCCACGGCCTTCGGGCTCTCGGGCATATTCAGAAAGAGTGAGTTCTCCCGTTTTCACCTGCTGTAGGAGGGGAAACTCAATTAGCTGCATGGATAGTGTAGCACATCCCCCCCTCAGGATATTTTTTCCGCTTTCGCTTCTCCCTTTAAAGACTATAATAGGTTATTTCTGGAGCAGCTGTAAGGGTGATGGAAGGATAGATATCTTATTTTGTGTTATATGAGTTGTTATAGGCGTTAGTCTAAGATTCTGTCAAGAGTAATATTTACTACAGCGTATATAACGCAGTTACAAGAGGTGCCATCATACACGGCTATACTTAGGCATACAGTAAGTAAGAGTAATTAATACCACCATTGACATTCAGTATGGAAATTGTATTTAAAATATGTCTTATAGTGTGCTTTTAAACCCTTGTTAAAATTCTTAATCAAAATCCAATTTTAGCAGCGCACATTTCGAAATGGGGAAATTCTGTAAAAGAAAATTATTCTAATATCAAAAGCCACCTGAATTGAATTAATGGCTCAAAAGATCTACACGTTCATTGTTAACAAAGCAAATTCTTCTGATTATTTTAGCTTGTCAGTGGACTAGATACCAGATCTGTTACATATAGACCAGTTAAGTCTTGTACTTTGATACTTACAAAGTTAGGCCGCCATTTGAACGCTTTTTAACCTTTCTGGAACCAAGAAGCGATACCAATGAGGATATGGCCCTCCAGGTGTTGTATTTCTTATGTGAAATTTGCAAACTAAATTTGTCAAAATGTAGAAGTCATTTGATGACGTATGACAAGATTTTGGAGAAACTATAATGCTGTATACACATTACATACATGTGCATCAAGCTTGAATGGTTCCCAATCCAACACGCTGTAACCACTCTGCAAGCGACTGTATTGAATTGGGAAATCGTGAGACCTATATGCCACCGCACCCGACTGTACTCGTGGCATTATTGGGCGTAGATATTTCATCAACTCACTTCATCATGCTCGGGCTGCATGAGCATAAAGTGTGCGTCAAGCTTGAATAACACTTACCAAAAAAACATCAAAATGATGATTATTTTCTATTGCCCTAGTAATATTACTTGCAGCTAATTAGCGTTAAATATCAAATCAAAATCAAAATGTTTATTCAGGTAAAAGTACATACCTAGAAGATGAGTTACAAACTTAATGTTGGATTTATAGATAGAGCAAGTACATACAATATCTAAAGCCACTAATACGCACAGTGTTTCAGGCAACAGGCATATATTTAATAAAGACATTTATAGTTAATGTAGTTGTATTCTGGCATGGGAAATGGCTTTGAAGAAAATAGTTTAATATCCTGTTTCACCTTCAGCACTTATTGAGTGTTAATTGGCTTGCCAATTAAACAATTGAAGAGCCGAGGGGGCACCATTATTGGGTTGTGCTTAGACACAACCAGCCGAGGCATCAGCTGGCCTCAACCAGGTTGTTACCCCATCACCACTACCACTTATAACATTGTCTTCCCCGGCAGACACGGAAGCTAGCCGGGGACCTTCACCTGTGAGCGGAGGGTCAGCGGTCTCCCCCAGTAATTTCACCCCTCTGAATTTCCCCTCCCCCCGCCATGCCCACGAGAGCAGGGACACCCTCCGCCCCAACCTGGACATCTCCGCCCTCAAGAAGCAGTATGCCCGCCTAAGGGAGAGGCAGAAGCAGGCACATATCATCCTTACAGGTGAGTCATCTCAAAGCTGTTTGTTTTTCAAATATAAAATGTTGTCACGTTTTCTCTAAATCATAGCTAGCAAGTGCTGCATCTTGTACATAGGTCAGATTTCAGTACTGCGTGGAGCAGCAATGACTTGGAACTCTAAATACTTTTAAATTGTGTGTATAGATTAAATTGACGTGGGTAGCAGTGCTATTCTCAGTTGTTTAAGTAGTACCGTACACTATTAGGACTTATGTCATGAACTTCAGTGATCAGATCCACATAAATCACGAAATACTAGCACAATACCTACTGCAGTAATGGCCAAGGGTAGTGCCATTTTGAGATTAGGTTAGGGTATAAACCTAGTTATGGGTTAGGTTAAGGAAAATTAGGTTATGTTAATAGTATGAATACAGTGAATAACAACACTTTCCTAAGAATATGATGTAAAATGGAGTCTAGATCCAGGTATGAGAGGTTGGGTTAAGGTTGGGTTGAACTGAGGTAGGGAAATACCCAATAACAACACATATCCAAGAATATACAGTAGTTGCAAAAATGAACTCAGACCCAGCTATTACAGGTTAGGATGGGATGGGATGGTTTGTATTGATGTAAAACTAGTGTCCAAAACACTGCTCAAAATATGATGCAATATTGAACCATTGTTGAATGATCCATTATATAGCCCTTTCTCGTTACATTTACTCATTATGTCACACGTACTATATCTATGACTTTACAAGTGTTCTTGAAAATTAGGAATAAATGTTGTTTCAGCATCTCAGTTGCGTATGAGCTCGACCCTGGGAAGTGGGTTGAGTGCTGCAGGCGCCGGACACAAGTCTACAACTCTGACAATGAACCACCTGCTGAGGGGCAAGAAGGCTCTCACTTCGAAAACCCGGCGTGTGGTTCCTCAGGGTGTCATCCCAGTCACGAAGCCCAAGAAGAAGGTACGGCTCTTTGGCGGTATAGCAGTCAATACTAGTGGCACTTGCACCTGAAGATTGCATCTGACAATCCTCTCATCGGCATCATGTAGTGGCACCATAAACACAGTTGTAATGTACTGCCCGAGTGTAGTCGCGTATCTTACTCTGGACTGTACATGATGCCCGCCTTAGTCAAAATCAAATCAAATCAAATGTTTATTTATGTAAGGTACATACATACAAGAGATTTTACAAAGAGTGATGGACTTATAGGTAGAGCTAGTACATACAATGCCTAAAGCCACTATTACGCAAAGCGTTTCAGGCATGAAAAACTTAAATGACTAAAGCTTAATACTAATTGAGCATAAAGCGTAAAATGAAAACATGGAATGAAAACATAGCTGAAAAAGCAGCACAAATACAATTCTGTCGACAAACAGCGCTCTTTAAAAAAAAACAGACATTGGTTGACAACAGAGGGGTAAGGTAGGTTACAGGGAATTTATTAGGTATAGCTTCATTTTTATCTTAAACTGGTTGAGAGAGGTACAGTCTTTAACATGGTTGGGAAGGTCATTCCACAATCTGGGTCCCTTGATTTGTAGAGCATTTCTAGTTTGATTAAGTCGTACTCTAGGAATATCAAAACTGTACTTATTTCTAGTGTGGTGCTCATGGGTTCTGTTACAACCTTCTATGAAGCTTTTGAGGTCAGGATTGGCATTACAGTTTAGCGTTTTATATATGTATAATACACATGAGAGAATGTGCAGTGACTTAATGTCTAACATATTCAGAGATTTGAGTAGGGGTACCGAGTGATGTCTGGGGCCAGAGTTGGATATTGTCCTAATAGCAGCTTTGTGTTGAGTAATTAGAGGACGTAAATCATTTTGGGTAGTAGAACCCCAAGCACAAATACCATAGTTGAGATATGGATAGATGAGGGAGTAATAGAGAGTCACCAGGGCAGGGTGGGGTACATAATATCTGATCTTAGAAAGAATGCCAACAGTACCTCTAGAGCTCAGGAGGTTAACTTGTTGCTTAATACTGCTCCCAACTTTTGTCTTCTTTCCCATGATGTTGCTTTTAAAGGTTATCTCTTTATTGTATATTGCCTCGCAACTCGCTTTCATTCTAGCCATTTTCTGTGATAACTGTCAAAAAGTTCACTAAAAATTCACTCTATCTTCTACCTACTATGAAAAGTCACTTATATTCTTTGAAGTATACCTTTCATTTTACTCTTGGCCTTTTCTTTTACTTGCTCCTTACCTTGTATCTCACTTTCTTGCCTTATATTTCTCTTCCACTCGGTACATTATTACGGGCTCACCATAGCCCGTGCTACATGGACACTGATCTGAGTAGCTAAATCTAAAACAACAACGGTACATTACCTGATTTGATAATAGTCCAGGACAGACCAAAACATTGTCGTTTCTTGATTTATCTGTGTGGTTTGGGCATCATCCTTTGAAAAATACTTCATTAAGCTTTCATGTTATATATTTTATGTTCAAAATATTGAAGTGTTTAAATCTATGTAATTTTACAGTTAAGGCATACAGATCAGTTGATTTAAGTGACACTAACTTGAAAATAACTAAACAATGAATATCCTTCAGGCTGAGCGTAAGTTAAGTGACTCTACTGGCACCCGTTCAAGCTCGCAGCAACAGCAACCAAAGCAACCTTCCATACAGTCTTTCAATAGCCTCCACAAGTCCACACAGCAACTCTCAAACAGTTCCAAAGCTCCTGCCAAAGTAGAGACCCTCCACTGGAAGGACACCCCAAGAAGAGACCGCCGAGCCTCACTCCCTTCTGGGGTCAAACTCCTGGAGGGATCTATGCCTTGTCTGGGAACACTTGGGGTTCCCTCTGAAATTGGTAAGATCATGTATGGTACAGGTAAGGATAACCAGAGTAGATAATAAAGAACAATTGAGTGGAGTCCATTTCACTTTCAGGACAAACTGTTGTGAGCCAAAGGCTGGGATAGTGCTCAGGAGTATTTCATCACCTTGCCAAGCAAACATTCATCTAATACTCATCCTTATATAGGATGGTCATTTCCAAATCACCAAAAATGACACAGCCACGTCATGTATAACTGTATAATTACCTAAATGTAGTTACAGGATCTGTGTGTACAAATTATATACTTTTTTTAAGTCCTGCCTAAAGCAAGTCATCTGGATCCTCTATCCTTAAAACATCCAACAATCACAAGTCATCCATCCAGCACTTAGTTATCCCCAGTAGTTAGGGTTTATCTCATGATTTTCTTCCTAAAAAAACTGTCTATGCTTGGAAGAAAATTCTGCATTGGATTGGGACTAATTTATTAAAGAATATTTAGTATTAATTTTACAATTATTAATTACAATTATTTGTAGCTGTTACTTGCATGTACCCAGCAATCGTACATCCTTCCCATAACTCCTTTGTGCAGTGTGAATTTATTTCTTAAGTAAGAATTAAGTAAGAATTAAGTAAGAATCTTAAGTAAGAATTTATTTCCTAATTATGGGTTAATGAGTTACAGAAGTAAACTAAGCTATGTATACTAAGGCTACTGCCAAAAGTGGAAGCCTATCACTTTGGGGGGGATTCCAGTGGAGCACCATCACCCGCTAGGCCATCTGGCGCAAAACCCCCTACCCCGAAGTGAAAGGACAAACGGTAGCTGGCTGCGGAAGCGAAAAGATATCCTGCCTGATGTAGGAGTTGAATGCCTCACTTCTCCACTAGCCCACCACCATGATTGTTTCGGCCGGGAGATTGTCCAAGTGCATTTGCTTAGCCCTGCCGATGTGGAAGGAGTGCAGCACGTAATTCCCCAACGTAATACTGAGTGCTGAGAGTGTGATATGGAGCATCCTAGCGAAGTCATGCCTGATAACAGGAGTCCCTGCCCTATGCACAAAAATAGGCCCTGGGTTCATGCCCCGTCCCTGAATAAACTTCATAGCGCCTGGACGGGGCAGTACAAGCATGAAAGGTTAGCTTGCAGTTGGAGGGCTGATGTCCTATGCACGCTGTTCTTGTAGGAGAAGTTGATGATGGCGCTACTCCTCGAGAACTTAATTTGTGCTAGTTGAAGTGTGTGTGCTTGCCACCTGCAGTATGTACAGCCTCCCCTGCATGGAGGCAGGCGTGGAAGGACAGGACAAAGAGTGCCCTATAACAATGTTTTTAGTAGCTAGTGTTGCATGTGGCTCCCAGTGCGCCCAACAGCCTGTGTAGGAGACGTCGCGTAATGGGCAGGCACGGGGTGTTGCAGGGGGCCTGGGTAGTGTTCTGTGCCCCCTTAATTAGTTGCACGACCAGGATGGAAGGAGATGGGTCCTTTCTGCCATGCAGCTTGAGCATGAAGGCTACCACATCGAGTTAGAACCAGAGCGTGCGGTAGGCCAGCCCACAGGTGATCAGGAACTGCAAGAAATTGGCAAGCACATGGGTTGGGGGGGGGGGCCTGAGAGGAGTTTCACCTGTTACACATACTACAATGCGGAGTAAGCGTATTTGTTCAACTTAGCCTGGTAGGCCCACCTAGTTGAGGGCTGTAGGGAGTTGAGGATCGTTCTTACGATGAAGCAGGCGAAGAGGGAGGATGGGAGGCAACCAAAGCCAAGGTTTGCTTGACTAGACCCGCAGCTTGCTTGATCAAACACGAGGCTTCCTCGACCAAACACAAGGCCTGCTCAACCCAGCATGAGGCTTGCCCGACCAACACGAGGCTTGCCCGACCAACACGAGGCTTGCCCGACCAACACGAGGCTTGACCACCTGCCACGAGGCTGCCCAACCGACCACGCGACTTGCTAGTCCAAAAATGTGGCTTGCCCGACCAACACGAGGCTTACAAACTTACAAATTTTGAGACCTTGTGGCAACCTTAAATGTTGAATAAAAGTAGTTTTCGTGATTGATGGTATATATATAAGAAGTAGAAATATAAAAAAATATATATATTTCTAGATTTAGTAAAACAGGAGCATAATAAAGGCGAGTTCATAATTTTGTATTCATTATTTTCACTTAATGGAGAATCCATGGTGGTGGTGGTTGTTCTTCTTGATGGGTTGTGGTTGGTGGCAGTAGTGGGTGATGTTTGATGGTAGTGGCTGATAGTAGTGGTGGTTGATAGTTGATTGGTTGTGGTTGATGGTAGTGGCTGATAGTAGTGGTGGTTGATAGTTGATTGGTTGTGGTTGATGGTAGTGGCTGATAGTAGTGGTGGTTGATAGTTGATTGGTTGTGGTTGATGGTAGTGGCTGATAGTAGTGGTGGTTGATAGTTGATTGGTTGTGGTTGATGGTAGTGGCTGATAGTAGTGGTGGTTGATAGTTGATTGGTTGTGGTTGATGGTAGTGGCTGATAGTAGTGGTGGTTGATAGTTGATTGGTTGTGGTTGATGGTAGTGGCTGATAGTAGTGGTGGTTGATAGTTGATTGGTTGTGGTTGATGGTAGTGGCTGATAGTAGTGGTGGTTGATAGTTGATTGGTTGTGGTTGATGGTAGTGGCTGATAGTAGTGGTGGTTGATAGTTGATTGGTTGTGGTTGATGGTAGTGGCTGATAGTAGTGGTGGTTGATAGTTGATTGGTTGTGGTTGATGGTTGAGATTGGTGGTTGTGGTTGGTGGTAGTGATGGTTTGTAGTGGTGTCTGAGGTTTGATGGTGGTTGTTAGTTGTGATTGGTGGTAGTGATGGTTGATGGTTAAGGTTGTTGCTGGGGTGGTTATGGTTGTGGTAGTGATGGTTGAGATTGGTGGTTGTGGTTGGTGGTAGTGATGGTTTGTAGTGGTGTCTGAGGTTTGATGGTGGTTGTTAGTTGTGATTGGTGGTAGTGGTGGTTGATGGTTAAGGTTGTTGCTGGGGTGGTTATGGTTGTGGTAGTGATGGTTGATGGTTGTCATGGTAGATAGTTGTAATGATTGTAGTGGTTGTTAATGGTTTTGTTTGGCAGGAGTAGTGGTTGATGATTGTTGTTGGTGGTAGGGGTGATTGATGGTTGTCGTTGTTGATGGTTGTCGTTGTTGATGGCTGTCATGGTTGATGGTTGTGGTTGGTGGTTGTCATGGTTGATGGTTGTGGTTGGTGGTTGTTAATGGTTGTGGTTAACGATTGCGGTGGTTGATGGATGGGGTGGATGAAGGTTGTTGAGGTTGATGGTAGCAGTGGTTGATAGTTGTGGTGCTTGGTGGTTGATGGTTGTTATGGTCAATTGAGGTTGTGGTTGATTGTGGTTGGTGTTAATGGTGGTTGATGACTGCGGTTGGTGATATTAGTGGTTGATGGTTTTGGTTTACAGTAGAGGTGGTTGATGGTAGTGGTGGTTCTTGGTTTTGGTGTTTGATGGTTGTGGTTTGTAGTAGTGTTGGATGATGGTTGTGGTTGATAGTAGTGATGGATAATGATTGTGTTTGATGGTAGTGGGGGATGATAATTTTGGTTGGTTGTAGTCGTGAATGGGGTTGAGGGGGAGTGAAGGGAGGGGAAAGAGGTGTCGTGCACGCTCCGTTAAAATCTTGAATTTTTACCAGGATTTCTTAGGATTACAGCCATGTAATCACAATATATGGGTCACCAATGTAACGTGCGATTATGTTACGTTGTTGGGTAGATTAGATACAGTGTTTAGTGGGTTTCATATTTATTTAGTAGTCTTGGATGCAGCAGTGTCGTAGATGTTGAGATGGAGCTTGGAGCAGAGTAGAGAGCTGAGTGAGGCCGGAGTCGCGGAGCTCTATGAGGGAGAGTGTGGCGGCTCGATGGGGAATCGTGAGTGTCTAAACTCGATGGGGAGCAAGAGCGTTGTAGCTCGATGTGGTCGTAGTCTGCTGTCTGCTATGTGTCGAAGCTGTAGCATCTTGGGGTTGGTTGGAACTGTACACTCTGAGTGCTACATTCTTGAAGTTGAAGAGGTGTGGTAAATCCGAAGCGTTTGTACTGAAGTTAACTGAATCACTATGGAAATTGTACTGATGCTTACTCTGTAGTTGTTGTTATAGATTCAGCTACTCTGAACAAGTTCCATGTAGCACAGGCTATGGTGAGCCCGTAGCTTACCTAGCACAGGAGTGGTGCTGTGTGATGCTTACTCGCTTCTTGACTGCTTATGTTATTGGACTACACCTCAGCTTCCTCCAGTAGGATGGAAAGAATGTTACCTGTAATTAGGAAAAGGTTTTGAGTAGTCATAATTAGTGCTAATGAGTTTGTCATTAAACTAATGAAAGATTAGAGCGAGTATAATGTTTACTCGCTACAGTAGTGGTGGGGGAAAATGAGGTGGTGGTGGTAGTGAAGGTGGTGGTAGTGAAGGTGGAGGTAGTGGAGATGATAATGGTGGTGGTAGTGGAGATGGTGGTGGTGTTGGTGGAGATTGACGTGGTGGTAGATATGGTAATGGTAGTGGAGATGGTGGGGGTAGTGGAGATGGTGGTGGTAGTGGAGATGGAAATGGGGTGGGGGTAGCGGAGATGGTAGGGGAGATAGTGGAGATTGTAGTGGTAGTAGCGGAGATGGTGGTGGTGGTGGTGGTAGCAGAGATGGTGATGGTGGTAGCGGAGATGGTGGTGGTGGTGGAGGAAGATGGTGTGGTGGTGGTGGTGGAGGAAGATGGTGTGGTGGTGGTGGTGGAGGAAGATGGTGTGGTGGTGGTGGTGGAGGAAGATGGTGTGGTGATGGAGGAGGAAGACAGTGTGGTGGTGGAGGAGGAAGGTGTGTTGGTAGTGGAGGAAGTTGTGGTGTTGGTGAGGGTAGGTGTGGTGGAAGAAGACAGTGTGGTGTTGGTGAGGGTAGGTGTGGTGGAAGAAGACAGTGTGGTGTTGGTGAGGGTAGGTGTGGTGGAAGAAGACAGTGTGGTGGTGGTGAGGGTAGGTGTGGTGGAGGAAGACAGTGTGGTGGTGGTGAGGGTAGGTGTGGTGGAGGAAGACAGCGTGGTGGTGGAGGAAGACAGTGTGGTGGTGGTGAGGGTAGGTGTGGTGGAGGAAGACAGTGTGGTGGTGGAGGAAGACAGTGAAGGCTGGTACAGTACTTGTATCCCTGGAAGAGTAGGGAAGTACTGCAGGTTGCAGAGTTGGAGAGTTCTTGGCGGTGGGGACCACGTGGCATGGTGCTGTACCCGAGGGTGGCGTACCCAAGGCTGGCATCCTCCGTGTGCCCATGGTGGCTGAATGATGTAATGAGGTCCACTGGGTAGACTCCTGCCAGCATGGCTTCGTTGAATTCCCGACGGTAGCAGTCTGCGGCTGGTGGTGGCGACGGTATACACAGCGTCACTGGAGCACATGACGTCACTGGAGCACATGGTGTCACCAGGCTGCAGTATCCACCACATCAACAAGGGCAAGCCTAACGCTGGGCAAAATCGACTTGATAGGTCTAGGACGGACCGAAACGTCGTCGTCTTTTCAATTTCTAGTGTGTGATTTGGTCAACATTTTTCAGCCACGTTATTGGGACTCCTCATCTGCGCTACGCACACGTTTAGTGGGGAGGTGGATAGACACAGGTGCTGGAGGGGCACTAGGTCCAACTTAGGGGTAGATGCGGGGCGCCATCAATGAGAATAACCAAATGTACCTGAAGCCGGTGGTTGCAATGCCCATGGGGGGAGCCGGTCGGCCGAGGGAACAGCACGCTGGACTTGTGATCCTGTGGTCCTGGGTTCGATCCCAGGCGCCGGCGAGAAACAATGGGCAGAGTTTCTTTCACCCTATGCCCCTGTTATCTAGCAGTAAAATAGGTACCTGGGTGTTAGTCAGCTGTCACAGGCTGCTTCCTGGGGGTGGAGGCCTGATCGAGGACTGGGCCACGGGGGCACTAAAAAGCCCCGAAATCATCTCAAGATAACCTCAAGATGGGCGTCCCATGGGCGCCGTTGATAGAGGGCGGACCTGGCACCACGAGGGCTGCCAGGCTGGGACTTGTACCTCTGGAGGAGGTAGAGGTCTAACGTAGCTTGAGTTGGAGGAATGCCTTGAGAGTTCGTGTCGGTGGGGATCACGTAGTGTGGCGCTGTACCTGAAGGTGGCGTGGCTAAGTTCAATTAAATTAAGCGTCTTCAGCGAGCCTTCCAAGGCCGGGCGAGGTAAGGACATCCATCAGGAAAGGCTTGATGAGTATGGCGGTGTTAAAATTCTGACGTCGGGGCTGGTGGTTGTGATAGTGTCCGGGGCATATGTTGAGGCGAGAGCACGTCATTAAGTTTTTAGGAGTGTTAAATACCTTTTAGGAAAACAACAAGGAAAAGGAAACTTTCATAGTCATTAAATCATATTTGCACTAAACCAGGTGTGCTTGTTTTGATAGACAAATTGAAAAAATTACAATAGATGTCTTTTTCTATTCTAATGCAGTCTAAATTTGTTTAAATTTGTAGTTTAGTTTAGTTCATTTATTATGCACCCCATACCCATCTTGTGGGCGGTAGTGGAAAGGGTTACAGAGGCACATAATGGGCTCAGGGACTGAACCCCACAATTCATTTAGCTAAGCAAGTTACAATCTTGATGAGCTAGTTACAAAATTCAATATAAGTCGTCACATCAACAATGGGTTCGAGATCGACCTCAAGTACAGGTTCTAAATTAAGCAACTGACATATGTGGAGAGCTAGTGTCAAAATTTATGTTTGTCCTGCACACCGCCCCCCATCCAGTGGGCAGCGATGGATAGGTTACAATCACTCAGTTACTACCTACAGTTAGCAAACTGGGGATATTTGGCTAAAATTTCTGGTAGCAGATCATTTTGAATGAAATATTTACACATCGCTGGAACATTGGTTATAGAATTGTCTCTAAATTCACATATCTTTTCGCACTCCATCACATAGTGACGGAGGGTGTGCGAATAATTTTGTTGACACAGTTTACATTTGGTCAGGTCTACATCAGCAGATAATGAGAATTCCCAAAGATACTTGTAACCGAGTCTAAGCCGAGCAGTAGTAACATCTAGAAGTCTGCTGATTTTATTGGATGATCCATAGATGTGTGGCTCCTCTTGCATGATAGTATGATGATAGATGGAATTACTGGTGTCAATGTCACTTTGCCTCAGATCTACAAGATCTTGTTGAAGTTCTCAGTGTACTGCTGCTCTCAGATTGCTCATTGACAATCCAAGGTTACACTCAACGGCTCCTTTAAAGGCAGATTCTTTTTCTAACTTATCAGCTCTATCATGCATTCGGAGGCCAACATGAGATGGAGACCACATGAAATGGTCTCTGTTACCATCCTTAATAATTTCAATCTGTAGCAATCAAGTTTCTTAACATATGTATCCTAATCTTGCATATCACTCATGATATTGGTATCAACAGATGATGACGATGGTGGCAGCAGCACTTCAACAGAGTTATGTGACGATGATGATGATGATAAATTGAGTGACTTGGAAGTTGATCCATCCACAGAACCTCGACCTGCAACAACTTCTCCGCGTCTTGAAACAGTTCACGAGGATGGCAAAGTTACACCTGAATCAAAGCACGCTCAAGCAGAAGGATTACCTGAAGATAAAAAACAGCAGCCAGTATCCCACAATTTATTACCATCAGTAGTCCAAGTGAAAGAATTACAAGCAGAGATAAGTACTCAGACTCTACCAAAAGAAGAGACAATTGTAGATAATGCTACTGCAGACCAAGTAAAACCACTTTCGGAGCCTCAAGATAAAGACTCCACTAAAAAAATACAAGAGCCTGAGGTACCTCTGGCAACAGAACCTCCACTCTGGGACTTTAAAGCTATAGAAACTGGGATCCCACTGGAAGACTTACTAGCTGGCAAGAATCTAACAGCTGCTGAAATCATTGCAAGGATTCCATTTCCTAGTGATGTGAGCTTTATGCAGCAGACTACTGAAGGGCCTAATAAACTCAATGAAACAAGACCAGTTCAAGGATCATCATCCCCATTTTCCACACAGCACAATGTTACACCTGAGAGATCACCAGTAGACAGCCCCGGGCCAAGGATTACCTCACCAGATATAGTTTACGAGCCATCGCTAACAACGAAACCTTCTCCGAATATATCGCCATCCAAATCACTTTCATCAACACCATCTCCAAGGGCCTCTCCTGTCCACAAATCATTCATATCATCCAGTAAATCTCCAAATCTTTCACCTTCACAAAGTCAAGATAACCTCGGGCTTGCCAAGCTGTCCCTGGTGGGGTTGCCGCCTGTCTCTGCCTCAGACATTACGCATGACACAACTCTAATCCCTCCCAAATCTCCAAAAATCACAGTCGAGGATGAAAAGAGAAATATATTTGAAATTTATACTGGTCATCCTAGTCCAGTTACCTCCACCCTGCCTCCAAGTGATGAGGAAAATAAAATTGAAATATACTTAAATAAGGTTTTGGAAAACATTTCAATTGAAAGTGATACATGTCCAGACCAAATTGCAGATCACCAAGAAAACGTGGTAAATGGTGCAGGAAATGTGACAGTCTTACCAGACTATATAAAATTAAATGAGGCTAAAGACACTGAAACATCAGTAGTTGAATCAAACGATTTGGAAAATAAATTTGAAGATACATGGGACACTAAGACACTTTTGGAAAATCCAAAGGAGTTTACCTGGCTTAAAGACTCATATAAACAGTGTGAATCTGAAAGTAATGGAAGCCTTATCAATGCTAGCTTTTCAATAGAAACAAGTTCCCCAACTCCAGATTCCACTGTGTTTGAAGCCATTTGCCAAAGGTTAAAAGAAAATGTGATAAAGACTGAATCAGACATTCCAGAAGTTCAAACAAATTTTGCAACGAATTCAGGATTTTTGTGCCTTACAATAAATAAAGAAGACAATACTCTACATTCTGAAACACAGACTGCTACTAGTATTGACAAGCTAGACGCATCTGTTGAAGATGTCAAAACATCAGGTTGTACATCCCCCGTTACAAACACTCCAACAGAAGCACTTGGTACCAGTTCTTGGCTTTCTTCGTTTACCATGACTGTTAACAGCAGTTTAATTCCATTAGCAACTTCAGACAGCAACCTTGTTGCACCACTTTGCAAGCCTTCTGAGGCTGGCTATGAAATCATTGAAGCAGCATTGAACAAAGAGGTATCACCGGTAACGGTTTCATTTGAAAGCTCTACTTCTCCTGTTATTACGACTTCTGAAGCTGGGTCTACATCTGTGTTTACAACGGTTGATAGTGGATTTTCAATATTTATGAAGACATACAGTAGTACATCAGATATCGTGTCTGATGATGATACAAGCTTGAAGACAGAAATAGTTGGCAATCTTGCTTCCTCAGTAACTACAACCTTCAATAATGGAATTACACACACAGCAGTGAGCAGTTCTCACTCGCCAACATCTTTCAACACTCGAGTTTCACCAGGAACCGATACTTCAGAATTTATGTTTCCATGTATGTTAAGTAGATTTTCAGAATTTACAAAGGAATTTGATAGTGGAAATGCTGCCAAGAAAATTAATGAAGATTTATATTCATTGGAAAATACAGATACTTCCAATTATTCATCTACACTTGAAAACTTACACATTGTAGGAACATGGAAGAATGACAAATCTTCTATAGTAACATCAGCAATTGATGAATTTCCCGTAGTGACAACCTCAAATAGTTGTCAAATTATTTCTACAAGCAGATCTGAAACCAGAGTACCATCACCACTGGCCACAGAACCAGAGTGCTCATCCATCATGGAGACCTCATTGGTTAGCTCTCCACCTTTGTATGTAATAAATACACTACCTGATATTCCTTTGGCCTTCAGCATACCAACTGGTGAAATTACATATTCAAGTATTAATGTTAGTCAAGAAACTTCCTCCCCAAATGACATGTCCAATGAAAAATCTTTGAAAACTTCTGTAAATGACACATCATTAGACTATGATCCGTCTCTTGAAAATGAAATTTTATCCTTAATTGGCAAGAATCAAACATTTTCAGAATCAACTGCAGAAAAGTGTGACTCGTCTGAAACTACAAATTCACACAGACAAACAAAATTAGAAAGCAGTGCGTCTCCAGCACTTTCGCTTGAAGAAAGAATTTTAGCATTGCTCAATATAGATGAAAAGATGTCTACAGTGTCTCCGGATGGTACATTATTATCCCATAGATCATCATCTGTTGATGGCAGCAAATTGCCAACAACTGAAAGTGGAGAAAGGCATGTTTCCTCAATGGAAAATTCAGAAAACATGTATGCCTCCTTAATCACAACAAAGGAGGAAATTTTGTCACCAGTGCCAAGCTTAGACAGGGAATCATCATTATCTGCTTCTCTTGAGGGTAGAATATCTTTCTTTACAAATAATTTGAAGGATGAAAGAGATGATGAGACTGGAGCATATGCTAGGTTAACTGAAGACAAAGAAGATAGAAGCTCTGACGACAATGATGCAGAGGCAGAAACAGACTTTTTCAATGGCAAAGACCTTAGCTCGGAAGCAATTCGACAAAGACTATGGAGTGGTGTTAAGTCGCTCAGCCTGGATGCTGATATTACCCTTGATCCTAATGTCTTTTGTTTCCTCATTCAGCAAAGTTCAAGACAAAAAAAATGGAAAGATGATAGAAAATTACCTAGAAGAAGAAACAGTGAAGTAGCCTTGCAGGAACTTGTTAAAGAAAATACGGAAATTATTGAAAGAATTTTGAAGCAAAAATCAGTCGAAGGTTCAGGTTTTATCAAAATAGAAACTCCCATTCATACTCCACTTGAGGAGACTAAAACCCCAGTCCATACTGCACTTAAGGAGGATAAAACCCCAGTGAATTCTGCACTAGATGAGACTAAAACCCCAGTCCATACTGCACTTGAGGACACTAAAACCCCAGTCCATACTGCAGTTGAGGAGACTAAAACTCCGGTCCATACTGCAGTTGAGGAGACTAAAACCCCGGTCCATACTGCACTTGAGGAGACAAAAACCCCAATTCATACTGTATTTGAGGAGACTAAAACCCCAGTCCATACTGCAATTGAAGAGACTAAAACCCCAGTCCATACTGCACTTGAGGAGACTAAAACTGCAGTCCATTCTACACTTGAGGAGACTAAAACCCCAGTCCATACTGCAATTGAGGAGACTAAAACTGTGGAAAAGGAATCAGAGAACAAATTAAGAGAGACGTCTGCTTCTATTAAATTTAACATGGAAAACAGTGAAAGTGATTGTAGTATCAATTCTCGGAGTCATAAGGAAACAAAGTCCCTCTCAGGCGAAGCATGTGTTGCAGCTACTTTTGAATCTCTTGAAGGAGCCACTAATTTTGTCAAAGTTAAGGAATTCTCACATTCAACCACTCAAAGTAAAGTCATTTCTCCTCAAAGCTCTAAAACCTCCCTGCCAGAATGGAAATATAACAATAAAAGGGAAGACGGTTCCATTGCTTTAAGCCCAACTAGACCTATTACATTCAACCCGTTTCCAACAAGAAATGTGCCAAGACAACCAAAAGAAGTAGGTGTAAAGTTAGGTCTCTATAGCCCAACTAAGAAAATGTCTGGTAGTTCCACATCCTAGAAAATAAAGGAAAACATTTTACTTAACATTTTTAAGTGATGGACAAAACTGTAGCCTGAGTGGAGTTTATACAAGTTACAATAAATGGTTTGGTTTCTATACAAATTTGGTACAGTATTTTAATGGTAAAATATTGAAGTAATTTAAGGCCATGATAAAAATACTGTCAACTGCATTAAGAAGTAGACATTTTAAATAAGATACTGTACTGTACTTGTAAGCATGTCAGTAGAAATTGTATAAAACATATTAAGTTTGTTACAATAAATACATCCATAAGTTAAAATTTCATAAGTGCAGTGATATTTTTATTTCTAATGGCAAGATATAATAAAATATATTATAATTGTAACTAACAGGGTAAACAAATTTGCATACATTTTTAATATTATTTTAGCCAGTACACGAGGTAATTTAGTTCCTAGAAATTTCATCAAGGTGCAATAAATGTAATATATACTTAAGATGTGCTAATTTATGAAAACATACATAACAGGGACCACTTGACAACATTATGAATGTTGAATGATGTTCCCCGAATCTTGTAGCCCATTTCCCTATTAATAGACCAAGATGCCAATTCAAAGAAAATACTTTAGATTTAAATATTATTTTTGACCATTAATAAAAAGTAACACAGGTCTTGCAATAGAACAGATAATAATGGCTATTTTATAATTTTCTCTAATATTGGTTTAATAGGTAGTACAGAGAACTCATAACGAAGTTCCAACCCTCCCCCACATACCAGACTAAAATGTCTCCTTCATACTTACTCAATATTGCCTTCGCAGTGTAGTATTCTCTTCCAAATTCCTTCTTGACTCTACCCCTTGACCCCCCTCATCCTCCATCAAGAATCACTGAAATAACTGTGTAAGTTTCTTAGACTGCTTTTCTATTTTTTTTTTTTCTTTTTGTTTTTCTTCCTTTTTCACTAAGAACTACACCAAAATCACACTATATTTATCTTAATTTGCTTACTTTTCTCTAATAAGTAAGTAAGCCACTATATCTCTAGTGATCTCAAAAAGGACAGGAAGCTGGTGGTTTATTCAAAGTCAAACCCCATTTGTCCTCCTGATTTTATCGAGCTGGATTTTTAAATTTGGCATCGTTTTTGCATTTACGGCTTCAATGGGTAGACAGTTCCATGGGTATGTAACACTGAAAAAGCATCTCCTGTTTTCTGTCCTACATTATGGATTCAGCTTGAAACTGTTGCTCCATGATTGTGTTACATCTGACCTTATAAAGAAGCTGTCTGGATCAATATCCTCCAAACTGTTCAGTACAGTATTTTAAGTTTCGATGACTCCTTGAAAAATGGCCTTGAGGTCTTTATAATTGGTAGCATTTCTTGAAGCAAGCAGGGCTTAAATTGTATCTCCTTTTCCCTTTTCATGTGGCTTTTGTTTTACTCTCACTTGTACAGTGTGTGCATAGTGAAGACATTTGAAGCTGTTTTTGTATTTAAATTTCTCTGTACCATCATTGACTGCAAATGAGCATTTATTGAAAAGACAGTATGAACATAATAAAACCTGAGCAGGCCATAAAGCCTTAAGACAATGTGAACGTAGCTACAGAAGAAAAAACCCTTAGTGGGTGATAGGGATACCCCTTCCTTTGACCTTTGTAATGAAGGGAAAAGGATGTTCTTTGTATGAACATCCAAGGCCATCCTATAGTAACCCAGGTACATAAATCATTTGAAAATACAGTGGCCTCTCCTGTAACACTAATTATATTGCTGGAAAATGGCTCATTATATAAAACTGAATAGCATGGTACAGTAATAATAGGGTTACATTCCCTGACAAAAGTTATACATTACTTGTACTTGAATACCTGCCTTTAAAATAGTTTGCATGTATGAGAGTGGGTTTGGTCCTGTCTTTTGAATGCATATTACATAAAAGTTCATACAGTTTAAAACATTGAAAAAAACAAAAAGGGTAGTCAAAAATGCATTGTATATGGGTCCAGTGTACATTACTCTTGTTGTACCGAATTTACATTCCCGAACAAATTTTAATATACAGTATATGGTAATTTTAAATAGCTAGAGATGTCTAAATTTGTATAAATTCTGGTTCATTTTAATTACAGTCTAATCATTCAATTGCTATTTAAATTATTTTTAATTATACAGAAACTAATCTACTCTATACAGAGCAAATATCAAATAGTTTTATATTTTTCATGAGTGCATTATAAGCCATAAGGGCAAGAATATCATGTCATTTATTGTTGCTTTTCAGCATCTGTATTGCATCATATGCATACCATCACAAAATGAAATCATCACTTCTTCCAACAAAATAGGAGGCTGTGATAAATATTACATTATATCAGGGCATAAGTATTTCCATCTGCTCTTGTCTTATTTACATACCTTAGCAGAAAATCATATGTATCTCTTCAGCTTGTACACTACACAGATTATATTATTTTATGTCTTTGTAGTAAAATAAAACAATTATCTACAGTTCTCAGAATTGTGTGAGTGCGTGTGTGTAATTACCTAAGTGTAGTTACAGGTTGAGAGCTATGCTCGTGGTGTCCCGTCTTCCCAGTACTCGTCATATAACACTTTGAAACTACCAGTACTGATTATTTTGACCTTCACACTTTCTCACTTAAATCGTTCCAACCATCTACCACTCTGTAAAGTAACTTTCTAATATTTACATTTTGTAATGCATGTAATTGCTTACCGGATGAGTTATGTTCGTGGTGTCCCGTATGTGTGTGTGTTTTATTTATTTGTATTGATAAAGATATAAAGATATGTATATATATACTGTATATATACTACTATATATATATATATATATATATATATATATATATATATATATATATATATATATATATATATATATATATATATATATATATATATATATATATATATATATATATATATATATATATATATATATATATATATATATATATATATATATATATATATATATATATATATATATATATATATATATATATATATATATATATATATATATATATATATATATATATATATATATATATATATATATATATATATATATATATATATATATATATATATATATATATATATATATATATATATATATATATATATATATATATATATATATATATATATATATATATATATATATATATATATATATATATATATATATATATATATATATATATATATATATATATATATATTATATATATATATATATATATATATATATATATATATATATATATATATATATATATATATATATATATATATATATATATATACTGTGTATGTAAATATATACATGTATATTAGTATATTTTGGTAGCAGTCTTTCTTGTAAACATATGTTGTTGAATATGACTGAAAGGGTAAGATTAATAATTCCAACATGAATCTTCATCTTTTCAATATTTCTTATGTTTTTCTTCACTGTCGAGGGTAATTGAAAAATTAACTCTCCAAATATTTTTTTTTTTTTTTGGTTGATGCCTAGAAGTGTTTTTTAAGGCTTCTTACATTTTCAAAGACTTGGTTTACACATAACATACATCATGCTTTATATTTGTTTTGGGTGAGGTGATATGACAAATGTTTTGGGTGAGGTGGGTATTAATTGGGTATGAAAGGCATAAGAATGAAAGTAACTGCAGAAGGCCTATTTCCCATACTTTCTCTTGCTGCTCGTATGTTTGTTGGGGGTCTTAAAGTGGGTAGAATATAGTTATGCGTTATTTGGCTGTTGATTACTGGTGTTAACTTTTTGATGTGTAGTGTCTCGCTGATGTTGAGTCTCCTGCTATTGCTGTATCTATCGATGATTTCTGTGTTGTTTAAGATCTCTCTGGTGATAGTCTAATTGTGAGAAGAGATTATATGTTCCTTGATGGAGCCCTGTCATTTGTGCATTGTTAATCGCCTATAAAGAGACTTTGTTGTCTTGCCAGTATACTGAGTTCTTTGGAGCTTACAGTCCCCGAGTGGGCATATGAAAGCATAGACGACATTGGTTTCCTTCAAAGCGTTCTGTTTGATGTTTGAGTAGTTTTTCATGAGTAGGTTGGCATTTTTTTGTTTTTGTAGTAAATTGTCATTTGTATTTGATGATTTTTGTCTGTAGGGATAACGTTCCTATTAATAATATATTTCAGGACACTTTCCTCTGTTTTATGAGCTGTCGAAAAGAAGTTCCTGCAAAACAGTCTAATAGTGGGTACAGGTGTTGTGTTAGTTGACTTTTCAGGGGTTGCATGGCGTTTCACCTTTCTTTTTATGATGTCTTCAACATAACCATTAGAGAAGGCATTATTCACTAGGACCTGCCTTACCCTACAGAGTTTTTCATCGACTTGCTTCCATCCTGAGCTGTGACTGAGAGCCTGGTCCACATAAGCGTTGACAACACAACTCTTGTACCTGTCTGGGCAGTCACTGTTGGCATTGAGGCACATTCGTATGTTTATTTCCTTAGTGTAGATTGCAGTGTGGAAGCCTCCATTCCTTTCCGTGACTGTTACATCTAGAAAGGGCAGTTTCTATCATTCTCCATCTCGTAAGTTAAACTTAACACAGAATTCTGCTCAAATGCCTCCTTCAGCTGTTGCAGACATCTGACATCAGGTACCTGCATAAAAATATCGTCAACATACCTGCAGTATATGGCGGGTATCAAGTCCATGTCAACTAAGACCCTCTGCTCTATGGTACCCATATAGAAGTTTGCAAACAGGACACCTAGGGAAGAACTTATGGCGACCCCATTTACTTGCTTATACATGTGCCCATCTGAACTCAAGAAGGGTGCCTTTTTATGCAGGCTTGGAGTAGCTTTCTTAGTGTGTTTTCTGGTATGTCAAGAGGAGTACAAGCCGGATCACGATACTCTGTCCATTATCATCCCGATTGTTTTATCCACAGGTATGTTGGTAAACATAGACTCTACATCCAAAGTGGCTCTTATCCCTGTGGTTCGTGCTCCCCGAAGTAAGTCAACGAATTCCTTTGGAGACTTCAGGCTGAAAGCACAAGGTACATAAGGAGTCAGCAAGCAGTTGAGTCGCTTAGCCAGTCTGTATGTGGGTGTGGGTATCTGGGTGATGATTGGGTATGGGGGCACATTTGTGAATGAATGTTTTTCTGTTTGTCCTTATGTCTAATTCTGTTCCTCTTCTACCTACTTAGGCTCGTGGGGTGGGCGACCAAGCCCCCGAGTCGGACCGTGTTGGAAGACCGGGCTCTGTAGCCCCCGCTGCATTGGGCCTCGACCTTGCTCCTCCTTTGACCCTCCTGACTACTCCCCTCGGCTCCCCTCCCTCCTCTGAGGCTGGGTCGAGCCCCAAGCTCCCAGTGGTGACCACCTCGTGCCCTGGCATGGCTCAGTCTCTAGTTGTGACTACTGCACCTTTTAACCCCTCTCTCTCTCTCTCTGGGGGGTCTCAATGCCGTCCTTGACATGGCCGCACTTGCTCGGTTCCTTTCCGTACTGATGTGTATCAAGCTTTGTTTGGTCCCACTTCATGGGGCAAATATTTTGATCTCCTCCCTCTAGATTCTGCGCCTTCTGATGATTTCTCCCTCCATAGGCACCTTGTTGATTCTGTAGATGCCTCTGTTACTTTCCACCCCACCCGTCTCAGTACACGTGTCGTTGGTGCTCCTTCTCAGGATGCAGCCTCCCGCTTGGCCGCCTTGTCCTGCCTTGGCGAGACCCCTGTCCGGGTCTCCAAGAACGCTCCGTTGAATGCCAGTGTTGGCACTATTCTCCTCCCGCCCCATGTTGCTACCGGTGTTTGGAATCTCCAGGACTGCCACGAAGATATTCGTCATAACCTCGATGCCCAGGGCCATTCTGTCCTCCAGGTAGACTCGTTTACTCGTCCCCCTCGTGGTCGTCGCCGTCAACCCCTTTTGGTTGTGAAGATTACCTTTGATGGTAGGACCCTTCCACCCTCTGTCATTCTTGCTGGTGCCAGGTGCTCCATCCAGGAATACATTCTCTCTCCTCGGCTCTGTAATAAGTGCTGGAGGTTTGGGCATGGTGCCTCTGCTGCTCTGGTACTGTCTCTCTCTGTCCTTTGTGTGGGGGCGAAGGTCACTCTAAGTCTGAGTGCACTTCTTCCCAGACTCGCTGCCTCAATTGCGGTGAGGCCCACCCTACCTTCTCCCGTGCGTGTATACATTACAAGCTTGAGGCAACTGTTCTCAACTTGAAGCACCGGGAGCGTTTGTCTTTAACGGAGGCGAGGCACCAAGTTTGTCATCTCCCACCTTACGCTAACGTCTCTTACGCTCGCGTGTTACACTCTTCCTCTCCTCGTCCTTCCCACTTTCCTCAGACTCAAAACCGTTTCCAGGCCTTGGACCCTGACACATCCACTGCCCCCTCCTCTGTTCCTTTGAGTTCTGTCCCGAAGGGTCCCCCTCCTGGTCCTCTGTTTGGGGTTCCCCCTTCTTTCTGCCCGGTCTGTCATGTCTCCTTTGTCTTCTTCCTCGTCTCCCTCCGATCCTCTTTCCCATCCTTCTCCTCCGTCTATTGGCTCTCCACGCCACCTGTCAGTATGGGCTGATGTCCATCGCTCTCCCAACGACTGTCGTGTATGCTCTCGTTCTGCTTCTCCTGTTGAGATGCTAGTATCCGTTGCCCAGTTCATAGTTGCTGGGACGCCTGTCTCTTTGAGTCAGAAGCGTAAGCCTGGCTCCTCTCCTCCTCCCTGGCGGGTAAAAAGGCTTTGCTTTCTTCCTCGCCCCCTACCTCTGACACTTTCGCTCCGTCCCCTCCCGTTTCGGTGGTTACGCCCCCTGTTCCTGGTATGGAGGTCTCTTTGGCCCCCCCCCCGCTTCCCTGTCAGTTGGTGCCCTTGCTGAGGTGCATTCCCTGGTTTCTGCCCCTCCTGCTGCTGTCCTTGACCCCTCGGTTTCCCCCCCCCCCCCCCTCTTCCTCCTCCGGACCCTACTCGTCCGCCCCTGATCAGTCCTCTAGCTCCCTTTCCTCCTTCTTTACTCAGTTTACCCATGTCCCCTAACCCTGACTTCGCTGACCCTGATCCTGTACTTTAACGTGCTGTGTTCCCTTTTCACCTTTGGTTCTTCGTTGTTCTCTGTTGCTGTCCTTTCTCTTTTCGGCGATGTCTATTCTTCAATGGAACGTTCATGGATATTACGCCTATTTCCTTGAACTCCAACTTCTGATTTCGCAGTTTTTGGCCCTTTGTGTCTGTCTCCAGGAGCTGATGCTTGGTGCTCGTCCTGGTTACTTTCGTGGCTATTCCTTTCTCTCCCCCCCCCCCAGCTGTTGTTGGGGCTCCTAACTCTTCTGCTCTCTTGATTTGCTCTGATGTTCCCTTTGTCCCCTTACTTTTTCCTTTGCCTCTCCATTGTTCTGCTGCTTGTATCTTTGTGGGGAAATGGTACACCGTCTGTTCCATTTATGTCCCCCCCCCCCCCCCGAGTGTCCCGCTTTCTCTTCCCGATCTGAAA